ATTGGAAGTTCTAGCCAAAGCAATTAGGCATGAAAAAGAAATTAAAAGCCATCCAAATTAGCAAGGAAGAAATAAAACTATCTCTGTTGTCAGATGACACGATCTTATCTGTAGAAAACCCTGAAGATTCCATAAAAAAACTGTTAGAACTAACAAATCAATTCAGCCAAGTTGCAGGATAAAACTTGTAGGATACAAATCAACACACAAGAATCAGTTGCATTTCTGTATGCTAGTAATGAACAATCTTAAAATGAATTTAAGAAAACAGTTCCACTTACAGTAACATCAAAAAGAATAAAATACTTAGGAATGAACTTAGCCAAGTAGGCAAAAGACTTGTATGCTGAAAACTATAAAATGTCGCTGAAATAAATTAAAGAAGACAAATAAATAGAAAGACATCGCACGTTCGAGCACTGAAAGACTTCATGTGAAGATGGGAGCACTGCCCAAAGCAATCTGCAGAGTCAGTACAATCCTATCAAATCCCAATGGTGTTTTTGCAGAAATAGAAAAATCTATCATTAAATTCATATGGAATCTCAAGGGACCCCAAATAACCAGAACAATATAATAGACATTGTGGTATTGTGATTTATAAGAAATATATATATATATATATTTGGTCATTCAGAGGACCAAAATATATTTGTCACACATATTTGGTTTTTGTCTACAGTTTCTCTGGCTCACAGCTCCTGAAGTCTTCTTGGAATTTACTGAGCATAAGATCAATGGGAGCAAATTTTGTCATTATATTTGGTCCCTTGTCCTCAGTTCCTGAAAACGCTTCAGAACCGTAAAGGTGAAACGGGCGTCTTGCTATGCAACAAGCCCCCTTCCACCTGGGGCTGGTTATGTTAATGAGGTGACTTTTGGAAAACCCCTGAGGATGGAGTCTGGTTGCCAGGGGAACCAACCGGGAACGGAAGGTTGGAACTTTTAGTCTCACCTCCTGATTTCTGGGGAGGGTAGAGGGGCTGCAGGTTGAATCAATCACCAATGACCAATAATTTAATCAATCATGCCTACATAATGAAGCCTCCATAAAAACCCAAAAGGAGAGCGTTCAAAGAACTTCTGGGTTGGTGAATGTGTGGAGGTCCAAGGAGAGTGGCGCCCTGGGAGAGAGTATGGGAGCGCCGTGCCCTTTCCCCAAATCTCGCCCTCTGCATCTCCTCCAGCTGGCTGTTCCTGAGTCATATTCTTTTGTAACAAACCAATAATGCAGTAAGTAAATTGGTTTCCTGAGTTCTGTGAGCCATCCTAGCGAATTAATCTGACCCAATGCAAGGAGGGGGTCATGGGAACCATGGACTCATGGCTGGTCAGTCAGAAGCACAGGTGGCAGCCTGGCCTTGCGTGTGGCGTCTGAAGTGGTGGACGGAGCAGTCGTGGGGCTGAGCCCTGAACCTGTGGCATCTAGTGCTGTCTCTGGGTAGACGGTGTCAGAATTGAGATGAATTGCAGGATACTTACCTGGTGTTCCAAGAATTGATTGGTGGTGTGGAGAAAAACCCCTCCCACACACTGGAATTGGGTGCAGAACCCAAAGAGATACATAGACTACTGGAATAGAAGGAGGAACCTAGAAATAAACCCTCTACATATGGCCAAATGATTTCTGACAAGGGTGCTAAAATAATTCAATGTGGGGAGAAAGACAGTCTTCAACAAATCGTGCTGGGGAAACTGGATCTCCACAAGCAAAAGAATAAAGCCAGACCATTGCCTTACACCATACACAAGGATTAACTCAATATGGATCAAAGACCTAAACGCAAGAGCTAAAACTATGAAACTCGCAGAAGAAAAGATAAAAGAAAAGTTTTTTGACATCGGATTGAGCAATGATTTCTTAGCTATGACACCAAGAGTACAGGCAACAAAAGAAAAAAATTAATTGGACTTCATAAAAAACAAAAACTGTTGTGCGTCTAAGGACACTGTCAACAGTGAAAAGGCCACCCACAGAACGGGAGCAAATGTTTGCAAATCATATATCTGATAAGGGATTAATATCTGGAATATATTAAAAACTAAAACTCAACAACAAAAAAAGAAACAACCCAATTTTAACAATGGGCAAAGGACTTAAGTAGACGTTTCTTCAAAGAAGATATTTAAATGGCCAATAAGCACATGACAAGATGCCCAATATTACTAATCATTAGGGAAACGCAAACCAAAACCACAGTGGGATACCATTTCGCACCCATTATTATAAAAAAGTGAGGAAATAATAAGTGTTGGTGAGAATGTGGAGAAATGGGAACCCTTGTGCGCTGATGGTGGGAGTGTGAAATGGTGCTGCTGCCGAGGAAACAGTCTGGGGGTTCTAAATAAATTAAGCGTAGAACGACCATGTGATCCAGAAATTTCAGTATACCCGAAAGAGTTGAAAGCAGATATTGAACAGATATTTTTACGTCGATGTTCACAGCAGTATTATTAGCAACAGCCAAAATGTGAAAACAATCCAGACGTCTGTTGCTAGATGGATAGCTGAGCACAATGTGTGTCCACGTGCAGCGGAATGTCATTCAGCCTTTAAAAGAAAAGAAATTCTGACACGTGCTACAGCATGGATGAACCTTAACGACATTACCCTAAATGAAATAGGCCAGACACAAAGGGAAAAACAATGGATGATTCCACTTGTATAAGGCACTCAGAATAGTCAAACTCGTAGACAAGAAAATAGAATGGTGGTTACCAGGGGCTGGGGAGGAGAATGCGGAGCTGGTATTTACGGGAACAGAGTTTCTGTTTCAGATGATTAAAAAGTCCTGGAGGGCCGGCCCCGTGGCCGAGTGGTTAAGTTTGTACTGTCCACTTCGGTGGCCCAGGGTTTCGCTCGTTCAGATCCTGGGCGCAGACATGGCACCGCTCATCAGGCCATGCTGAGGCGACGTCCCACATGCCACAACTAGAAGGACCCACAACTAAAACGTACAACTATGCACCAGGGGGATTTGGGGAGGAAAAGCAATTAAAAAAAAAAAGAAGGTTGTCAACAGTTGTTAGCTCAGGTGCCAATCTTTAAAACAAAAACAAAAGCAAAAACCTATAAATTCTGCTCTTGCAAAGGCAATCTTTTTTTTTCACTTGAGAACAATTTTATTCATTTATTATTATTTATTTTTATTGTGGTGACATTGGTTTATAACATCATATAGTTTTAGTGTGTAACCATCGGAGACCAATTCATCCTGGCCCTATTGCATCCTGTCGTATCAATAATGAATGTCAATCAAAGCTGTTTTGCAGGGGTGACGAGCAAACACTGCAAGTCACACGGCTGGAGTATGTGGAGAAGACGGGAACCTCGTCCTCGGATGACCCCAAGCTGCCCAGGAACCAAAAGTTCCCTAACTCCAGCGCTCAATGTGAGGAGAAAGCAGAATGGGGGACCTAAGGGGAAGTGAGGGGTCCCTTGATTGGCAGCACACCGGACTTAGAAAACTGTTACCCTCCCACCCTCCACTCAGATTCCGCCAAGTCAGCATTTGGTATAACCACTGCCACTCCCAACTCCTTTAAAGTGCGTCCCCACTTCAGCTCAGGGAGACAGGTCCGAGCTTTGCATCCTGTCTCCTTGCTAGTTGGCCATGCAATAAAGCTCTTCTCTCAAAAGCTGGTATGGTAGTTTCAGCTTCTACGTGCATCAGGCAGCGAGCCCTTGCTCTGTGACAGGTGTCCATCATTACATGTCGATTTCTGTGAAGACTACATCATGGTCACCACCCAAAGACTAACTACCATCCCTCAGCACACACATGTGCCCTGCCACCCCTTTCACTGTCCTTCCCACCCCTTCTCCTCTAGGAACCACCAATCTGTTCTCTGTATCTGCGTGTTCATCTTCCACATATGAGTGAAATCATAGGGGGTTTGTCTCTCTGTCTGACTTATTTTGCTTAGCATAATTCCCTCAATGTCCCTTTATGTTGTCGTAAATGGCAAGACATCATCTTTTTCTGGCTGAGTAGTATTCCATTGTGTATATACACCACATCGTCTTTATTCAATCATCCGTCAATGGGCACTTAGGTTGTTTCCAAGTCTTGGCTCTTGTGAATAATGCTGCAGTGAACATAGGGGTGCAACTATCTTTTCAAATTAGTGTTTTCATGGTCCTTGGAAAAATACCCAGCAGTGGGATAGCTGGATCATATGGTAGATCTATTCTTAATTTTTTGAGGAGTCTCCATGCTGTTTTCCATAGTGGCTGCACCAGTTTGCATTCCCACCAGCAGTGTGTGAGGGTTCCCTTTTCTCCACATCTTCTCCAACACTTGTGATTTCTTGTCTTTTTAATAACAACCATTCTGATGGGTGTGAGGTGGTATCTCATTATAGTTTTGATTTGCATTTCCCTAATGATTAGTGATGTTGAACATCTTGTGATATGCTTGTTGGCTATCTGTATATCTTCTTTGGAAAAAATGTCTGTTCAGACTCTTTGGCCATATTTTAATTGGGTCCAAAGGTAGTCTGAAGCAACCAAAGAAGCAAGACACGAGCTGGGAGAAAATACTGGCAATGCATATAGACAACAAAGAACTTGTACCCGGAATACAAAATGAATTCTTACAACAATCAGAGGATAAATAATCCAATTAAAACATGGGTAAAAGGTTTGAACAGACACTTGAACGAAAATATATGGATGGACAACAGCACATAAAAGGACGCTCAGTATCATCAGTCATCAGAGAAATAAATCAAGACCACAGTGAGGTACCAGCACACACCTGCCAGAACGGCCAAAACTGAAAGGACGGATTATACTAAGTGCTGGCGAGGATGTGGACCAGTTGGAACTTACACATTGTTGGTGACAACATAAAATGGGAAAACCATTTTGGAAAACAGTTCGGCAGCTCCTCAAATAATTAAACATACATGTATCTACCGTAGGATCTAGCCATTTCACTCCTAGGTATTTACCCAAGAGAAATGACAGCGTGTGTCCACACGAAGATGTCCACACGAATGTTCACGGCGACTTTATTTGTAACGGCCAACAAACGGAAACAATCCAAATGTCCATTAACTGGTGAATGGATGGACAAACTGTGGTCCGTCCACACAATGGAATACTTCTCAGCCATAGAAAGGGATGGACAACTGACACATGCGACAGTGTGGCTGGGTCTTTATACCACCAGCCAGAGCAGCTGGCTCCGCCTGGGGGAGCCTTAGCCCCACCCCGGAGTTGGGCTCTGCTCTGAGCAAGGTCTCTGGACCAGCGGAAAGTCTGTTTCTTATGCTTCTCAGTCACTGATTTAAAATTTGTCAAGGTCCCTTTTAAGTGCAAATCTAAAGTCTCCACAAGACAGCTTGTGCAGAGGCCCAGGGCTCCGAGGCCAGATGGGGAGCACTGTACGAGTTTCCTGAGGCCGCTGTAGCTTAGAGCAATAGACAGTCATTCTCCACGGCCTGGAGGCCAGAAGTCCGGAATCCAGGTGTGGCAGGGCTGCACAGCTGCCGAGGCCCTGAGGGAGGAGCCCGCCCCCGCCCCTCTCCTGACTTCTGGTGGCTCCAGTGATCCTTGGCGTCCCGTGTAGAAGTTTCACTCCCGTCTCTGCCTCCGTGCCCACGTGGCTTTCTCCCTGTGTCTGTCCCTTTTCCTCTTCTTATAAGGATACGGTCCTTGGATTCAGGGCCCGCACTAATCCAGTATGAGCTTACCTTAATTTAACTAAGCGCACCTGTCAAGACCCTATTTTCAAATAAGCTCAGGTTTTGTGGCTCCAAGGTGAACAGGAATTTCGGGGGGACCCTGGTGAACCCAGTGCAGGGGCCTCGACTGTCAGGTGAGCAGCGGACACTCTCCTGGGGGCCACAGGAGCCAGGGCAGGCGTGTGGGCAGAGGGAGGTGCAGCCAGCTCTCAGGGTCACAAAGACCCCAGGGGCTGGTGCAGGGCCAGCACACAGGCCTGCAGGGTCTGGGTGCAAAGGGGAGCAGGGGAGCCTGCTGGGGGGGGCTAGTCAGGAGGGGAGAAGCTGTGTGTGAGGGAGGGTGGCACAATGCACCCCGGGGTGGGAACGCTCACCTCACTCCGATGCTTTAAATACTCAGGGTTATTCGCTCACAGGCTTGGGGCAGGAGACACAGAGATTCACACTCGGATCTGACCGAGCAGATCTGAGGCAATGGCCAGAATGACTTTTCCAGAGAACACAGAGCATCAAGCCCCAGAATCCATTTATTTCACATGCATGGATGAAGTCTCCAGCCAAGGGTCAGGCTGGGCCCAGGGACGAGAGCTTGCCTGGCCCAGCTGACCCTGGTCGCCAGTGACATAAGGTAACAGAGCCTCCTAATCACGCAGCATCCAGGCCTGTCCCCACCCAGACCCGACTCGCTGTGTGACCTCAGGCAACCTCGCTGATCCTCAGTTTCTCCCTCTGTAAAGTGGGTTCGCGGTCCTCAGGATGAGACGGGGAAAGTGTCCAGGCCCAGGAGGAAGATGTGAGCATTACTTCCTCCTCCCTCTCCCCTCCTGCTCCCAAGGTCCCATGACGTCTGCACACCAAGAGGAGGGAAGCAGGAAGGGGTGAGGAGGGAGGGCTGGGGTCCAACCCTCCACGAGTCTCTGGTTTGCTCTGTGACCTTGGCCAAGTGGCTGCTCCTCTCCAGGCCTTAGTTTTCCCGCCTGTGATGCGGGGTGCAGGGAGTCGGGCCTGAGGACCTCCAAAATCCTTGCTGAGGTTCAGACACCTCCCAGGGGAGAGCTGGGGACTTCCTTAGACCCTCGTGCTGGGCCTGGGGGTTTCCCATGTTGTCCAGAGGAGACTCCAACCTCTTTCTATTGTAGGTAGAGAAATATTCGGCCTCATTTTTGGCAAGCAGGCAGGGGTGCAGCATCTAAGACTAGGGGCTGGCTGGAAGCTGGGGGCTGGATAGATGACCTCCTGGAGGCGGGGCTTCACCTCTTCCCACAGGGCGGGACCTGCTGTCCCAAGCTCGTTTACATACATCACAGTCCAGCCAATCAGAGCCCAAGGTCATTGGTCCGTGGCCTGGGATTGGCCCACCCTGAGGTTCCATCCCAGGTGGCAGTCCCCGGCTGGCTCAGAGGTCAGTTTCCCGCAGGTCACCACCACCATCATGTTCACTGCCAGGGGTCCAGGAGCCAGCTCCATTCCCCTCCTTCTGCTCGAGGAAGAGCAGATGGTCCTCATCAGTAGGCAGGAAGTCAGGAGGCCTCTTGGCTCCAGGTGGCAGTTCCTCAGCACCCTGGGGGGAGGAGAGAATACAGACCCCATCAGAGACCCCATTTCTGCTTCAAGAAAATCTTTCCCCACAGCAGCTGGAGAGAGCTTTAAAATACCAGCAAGATCCCTTCCCTCCCCAACCCTCCCCTTGTCAACCCTGCTCTGGCCTCAGGGCCTTTGCACCTGCTGTGCCCTCTACTGAGAATGCCCTTCCTCTCCATCTCCCTATGGCTGGCTCCTCTTCATTCTGGGCTCTGTCAATGTTACCTCTTCCAAGAGGCCACCTCCATCCTAGAAACCTGCTTTATTGTCTTCCTAATACTCATCGCCTGCTGAGGTCCTACTAATTTCTCATGTTAGCTTTCATCTCCCCTGCGAGACAGTGGGCTCGAACTCCAGCCCAGGGCAGGGCAGGGTACACAGCAAATGCTTAATAAATGAGGAAATGAAACAGGGAATCCAAACCAGGGCAGGCCTGGATCAGGCCCCCAGGGACAACGTTTGCCAAACTCAGGGCATTCACATGGCAACCACGCAGCTTTGGCCAAAGTCAGTCCACCCACCGCTGTGCTCTTATGTAAGAGTTTCTCTAAGTTAACTCACTTTTGAAGTAAGTCATTTTATTTTGAGATGACATTTTATATCAATACCCTAAAGGCAAACCAGTTTCACCTGACATAGATTGGAGTAATTGTAACAACAGATACGATGCACAGCAGGAAATTCTGCCCACTCCTTGTGAAAGGCAATGATAAAGCGTTGAAGACACACCAGCTGCCGGCTGCGCCTTTCCACTGGGTGTAACACGAGGGTGAGGAAGACAGTCACTCACCATGTCACTGCCCTGGATGACGGCCATGCCCAGAGCCCCTGAAGCCACTTCACTGGCCCAGCCCCCACTCTGGAAGCCCAGCCCTGAGACCTACCTTCACCAAAGTGTCGTCCAGGGTGGCCACTTCTTCCTTGGGGGCCACCGATGCCGTCTGCCGTGTGAGGTCCCACCACAGCAGTCCAGGACCCAGGGCACTGCGCTTGGTGGGGCCTGAGGGGCAGAGAGAAACAGGGGCTTGTGGTGAGGCGTGGGGGAACTGGAGGCCCTGGGGGGAGAGAGAGAGAGCTCTGATGGTTTCCAATCCCAGGTGCGACAGTGACACCCTGGGGGGCCCTGGCAAGCCTCTGCCCTCTCTGGGCTTCAGTTTGCTCATCTACACAGTGGGGGTCATAATACAACATCAGTGGGTGTCTGGGAGGGTCTAGCGTGTGGTTCTGCTCACTGCCGTGTGCCCAGCGTCTAGAATAGAGCCTGGCACGGAGAAGGACTCAGTGGAGGCCTGGCGAGTGTGGAGGCCGAGGCTCAGGAAGCAGGGCCAGGCGCTGTTATCACGACTGAGTTCTCGCGCGCGCTCTCCGCCTCTCCGCGGGGTGCCGAGTGCCCGAGGGGCAGGGAGCGGCCAAGGTCCTGGCGGGAAACATTTCAGCACCAGGGACAGCGCCGCGGGCCCCGCTCCGCAGCCTCCAGCGAGGACTCCGTCCCTCGTCCCTGGGGTGCAGGAGGCACTAGAGAGGCGGCAGCCGGGCCTCAGTTTCTGCCTTTGCAAAATCGGACAAGGCCTGTGGGGAGCCAGGTTGTCCTGTCCTGAAGGTGACGAAGCGAAAAGGGTGTAGATGCGTCCAGCACGCAGTGGCCTCTTGCCCAAGGAGCCTGCCTCCTCTCCCTGCCCAGTGGTTCCTGGAGGCAGAGGGACGGACAGGGAGACCTCTGTCTGAGGGTCTTACCTGTCATACGCCCTGCTCACCTGTCAGGCAGCTGACGAGGGCTCCACATAGCACAGTGCTCAGCGTGCCCAGGGCACCATAATAAAGATAGGAAATGGCGTAGAAACTGTCAGCTAAGGCAGGTCGACCAGGGTCCATTCCGGGGCTGGGGGCGGGAGAGGTGGGCATGAGTCCAAAAGTCACTCCCAATCCGTTTGCTTGTCCCTGTCTCCACTGCCACAGACTAGCCCAGTCCTCCACGGGTCCTCACCCGGACATATGCGGCAGCCAATTTTCTCTCCCTCCTGCTGTCCCATCCCGGGCACTCGCCACCCACAGCCGGGGGAGTGTTACTAAAATGTAACTCAGATCACCTCCTGCCACTGCTCATCACCCTCCGTGGCTCCCTACTGCCCTCAGAATCAAACCAAATTAAACTCTCAGGAGAAAACACACGTGTAAAGCTTTATGACCTTGGATTTGGCAGCAGTTTCTTAAACATGACACCAAAAGCACAAGCAACCAAAGGAAGCAGATAAACTGGACTTCAGCAAAATTAAAAAGTGTTGTGTGCCAAAAGACACTGTGAAAAAAATGAAAAGACAATCCACAGAATGGGAGAAAATATTTGCAAATCATTTGTCTGATAAGGATCTAGTATTCAGAATGCATAAAGATACAAGGAATACATAAATTACATAAAGTACGTAAATAAATCAAAAGATAAATGACCCAATTTAAAAATGGGCAAAAGATCTGAACAGATATTTCTCCAAAGGAGACATAAATGTGGCCAATAAGTGTATGAAAAGATGGTCAACATCGTTAGCCATCAGGAAATGCAAAGCAAAACCAGAGTGGGAACCCACCTCACGCCCACTAGGATGGTCAGACACACACACACACGCGGAGGGAAAACAGCAAGAACGATGTTGGGAGGATGTGGAAGAAGTGAAACCCTCACACACTGCAGGTGGGGTTGTAGAGCGATGCCGCCACTGGGGAACACAGCCTGGTGGCTCCTCCAAAACTTAAACATACGGCTTCCCCGGGGCCGAGTGGTTGACTCCGCGCGCTCTGTTTCGGCGGCCCAGGATTTTGCTGGTTCGGATCCTGGGCATGGACATGGCACCGCTGGTCAGGCCACGCTGGGGCAGCGTCCCACATGCCACAAATAGAAGGACCCAGAACTAAAATATACAACCATGTACTGGGGGGATTTGGGGAGAAAAAGAAAAAAAAAAGACTGGCAACAGATGTTAGCGCAGGTGCCAATATTTAACGACAACAAAAAAAGCTAAACAAAGAATTATCATATGATCCAGCAATTCCACTCCTAGATATAGACCCAAGAAAAATGAAAACCTATGTCCACAGCAAAACTTGTACACAAACGTTCATAGCACACTAGTCACTATCGCCAAAAAGTGGAAACGACCCAAATGTCCATCAACGGATGATGGATAAACAAAACGTGGTCCCTCCACACAGTGGACTATTACTCAGCCATAGAAAGAGAGGCAGCCCTGACGCGCGCCACAACGTGGGTGAACCTCGAAAACCTCACGCTGAGTGAGAGAAGCTGACAGAGGCCACACGGCGCATGATCCCATTTATACGAAACGTCCAGAACCGGCAAATCCAGAGAGACAGAAAGTGGATCAGCGGGTGCCAGGGGCTGGGGGAGGGAGCGCGGACGGACATGGGGCTTCTTTTTGAGGTGCTGCAAACGTTCTTGAGTTAGATAGTGGTGACGGTTGTATAACCTTGTGAATATAGTAAAAATCACTTTTAGATGGTTAATTTTTTGGTCTGTGAATTGCATCTCAGTTAAAAAGAAGAAAGAATCAGACCACATTCCTCTGGCTGGACCTCTTCTCCCATCCTTTCTCCTCCCATTGAATCCACGCAACGTCCCCGGAGTTGGAATATGCACTCAACTGAACCCGGCCTCAGGGCCTTGGCACCTTCCATTCCCTCCGCTGGGAACGCCCTTTCCTCACCCCTTCCCAAGCCACACTCTTCCTTCTTCGGGATTCAGTTTGAGGGTCTTCCGCTGACCGCACCTCTCAGGCCACGCCCCCCCACCCAGCCCGCTCACCTGGGGGCCCCGCCGGAGGCGTTGGCGGCGAGGAGCGGGCCCAGGAGGCCGGAGACGTTGGCGGGGGGCTCAGCGCAGCCGGCGGCCGATGACGTCAGGACCCCCATGGACTGCGCGCTGGGCGGGTAGAGGGCGGCGCCCACCGCCACCCACAGCGACAGCGCCAGGCCCGCGGCCAGCCCGCTGAGCACGCCCTGGGGGCGGGGCGGGCGTCAGGGGCGGGCTCCACCGGGCGACCCCAGCCCCTCCCGCCCTCCGCGCTCACCCGCGTGTTGCAGGCGGGGAGGAGCATTCCCAGGATGAAGGTTCCGAGGAGGGGGCCGCTGACGACTCCCATGACGGTGAAGGAGCCCTGGGGGAGGGAGAGGCCGGGGCTGAGGGCAGAGCCGTACCACCTCTCCTGGCCTCAGTTTACCCGCTGGGAAAGCTAGACCTGAGGAATTCCACTGAGGGCCTTGAGGCTCCTCTGTGCCTCAGTTTCCCTAAAGGGGAGGGGACTTCCTATTCCTGCCTCTCCTCCCTGTGTTGGAGGCAAAGATGCTGATTCTCTCTCCTGACTAGTGCGGTCCCACCTCCAAGCCAGGCAGGCCCTCCCTGACCCCAGGCCGCCGTCCCGTCCCCCCCTCGCCGCCCAGCCAGCTGGCTGCAGGAAGTATCCGGTGGCATCAGAGAGAACTCGGTTCTGCCACTGACAGTCTAACTCTCTCTCAGTCTCAGTTGAGTGCGGACGATGCCCCAGCTCTGGGCGGAGACAGGGCGGGTGGGCGAGGGGGCTCACCTGGAGGACGCCGCCCCCCAGCAGCGAGGACAGAGCCGCCACGGTGAGGCAGGCTGAGCCGTAGATGAGTGCTGTAGCGGATGGGGGTGGCACGGTCAGCGGGAGAGACCCCCCTGGGCCCCACCCAGGTCCCCCCAACTCACAGAGCCCCTTGGAGATGAGTACGAGTCTCTGGGGCGCCAGGCTCGGCAGCCGAGGTTTAATGAGGTCCTCCACGGTGACGGCAGCCATGGCGTTGATGCTCGTGGAGGCGGTGCTGGGGGCGCAAGGCGGGGGAGCTGGGTCATCAGGCCCCACCAAGGGACTGGCCACACCTCCTCTGCGGCCCGCCTGCAGGGGGGGCCCGCAGCTGCCCCTTCCATCTGAACTGCCAGGACCCCACCCAGCCCAAGGTCAGAGGTGTGGATGACAGAATCCCTCAAGAGTGGAGGAGATGTCCACCCCCACCCCCACCCTGCAAACCTGAGACATCCCCAGGGGAGCAAGGACCCCATGACCAAGGGCAGGAATAACACAAGTTCTCATCACAGAGCAATAATGGGGCAGAGAACTGCCACATGGGACCCTGGTCACAGCTGGATCAGGGCTGAGGCCAGAGGTCATGGAGAATTTGAAACCACCAGAATGTGAGGCCCTGGGGACAGGAGTAGGGAACCGCTTGGTCACAGCCGTGCCCAGATTTGGAACAGCCGTACCTGCTACATAGGAGGTGGTCAAGAAACCCTTGTTTGCGGGACCAAGGATGGGAGGGGGGAGGCAGGTGTGCCCTCCCAGGTGATGAGATGGTGGAGACCCCGCGGCTGGGGTCCCTGTGCTCAGGGCGTGCTTTCTGCCGGAGCCCATGAGCTGCCCGCTGGGGACCGAGCAGGGACTGTAAATGAGCGATGTGCCTGGGACATTCTCTCCTGCAGGGGTGGCCCTTGGGACGAGGAGGCCTGAGGGGCCTGGCTGTGGCCGCTCACCTGAGGGTGCCGCTGTAGGCACAGGCCAGGAAGAGCCCCGGCACCCCAGGCAGGTCCTTGAAGATGTCCAGCACCAGCAGGGGCATGTACTGGGGAGGCAGGGAGGCCTTCAGACAGCAGCACCCCGAGGCCCGGCTTCTGTCTGGCCCCCACTCCCTGTCCCTAGCACCCAGGACAGACCGGGCTCACTGTGGGCACTTGGTGTGTGTTTGTTGAGTGACTGTGTGCCCCGAAGGACTGTCACAGCCCCACCGTGCCCAGAGCCCTGGGATCCTGGTGAGGCCCCCTCCTGTCATCCCCTCTCTACTGACGAAGACAGCAAGGCTGAGAGGGGCCATCCGCGCCCAAGGTTGCGCAGGCAGGTGCTCCAGGCGCTGAGCCCGCGGGAGACAGGGATGGGGTGCCCACGCAGCCTCTGCCAACTCTGAGCCCCGTGGCAAGAGCTCCAGCCGGGGTGTGACCTGGGCATGGCTCCTGGGCCTGGCACTGACCCTGACTTGCCTGTGGGCCTCAGGCAGTTGCTTCCCACCTCTCCAGCCTCAGTTTCATTATCTGTAAAGTGGGGGCCACGACAATCTTGACCTCATCGTGTGTTGAAGGGAACAGCATGAGGCAGAGCAGGTGCCTGCGACACCGGAGCTGGTCATTATTGTTAATCTCAACACTGTTACTTCATGCTGGGTCTGGGCCTCTCCTCCCTGACATCCCTCAGGGCGTCTTCGACTCCAGGTCGGCATGTGCCCCTGCCCTGCTCACCCACGCATGGCTCCCCATCACCTCCCAGGCTCATCTTCCTCACTCCTCTCAGATCCTCCTCTGAGCCAAGCTCTTTCCTGCCTCTGGACCTTTGCACAGACTGTTCTCGCTGCTAGGAATGCTCTTCCACCCTCGCCTCCAGAAATTCATCCACACAGAGGTTCAGAGTTTGGGTAAGGGGGCTGGGAGCAGCCTAGGAGCCTGGGCCAGACTCACCTGGTCCGGGGCAGAGATGCGCCCTGTGAGGAGAGGGTCACAGTCAATATAGAATGTGAACATGACGATACCACAGCTAGCAGCGCTGCACACGATCAGGAACAAGCCCAGCTGGTTGATGAGCAGGGCCCTGGGGGGAGCGGCAGCCTCAGGCTGGGGAGGGAGCAGCACATCCCAGAACCTCTCCCCGCCCCCCCGCCCCTTCTAAACACTCACAGCTTGGCCTGCTTCTCTGTGCGGCAGGCCACATAGCGCTGCACCTGTGCTTGGTTCACACCGTACATTGAGAGCCACACCAATGTGCCGCCCACCACAAAAGTCCAGAATGTGTAGCGACTCCGTGGGTCCAGGTTGAAGCTAGATGAGGGCAGAGCAAGTCAGCCGTATGGGGATGCCACACTGACTTCATCCTCCCTAGGTCCCCAGATGGTCATTCTGGAACTCATGGGCCTTAAGGGGATATTTGGGGTGGGTTTTGAAGTGTGAGTAGGAGTTTGCCAGATAGCTTGAAAATTCATTTATTTGTTTACTGAGTCTTCCATGTATGCATTCCAAAACCATTTTTTCTGTGCCCAGCAGGAACCTCAGAAAGCCATCAGTCCACGGTCTGGGCTGGGGGCTGGGGTGGTGCAGAGGTCTGGGCCAGATGGAGGAATGGGGGTAGGGGAGTACAGAGAGGGAGAGCCAGAGTGCTATCTGTGAGGAGTCTGGGGAGGGGAGCAGGGAGGGCTTCCTAGAGCAGGAGACATTGGCTGGCTTCTCCCAGGGCAGAGGGAGGTCAGCTCCCTCACTTAGCAGTTTCTTCCTCTGCATTTCCACTCACTCCATCAGGTTGACCCGGGAGTGGTTCTGGGCCAGCTGGAGCAAGTGCCTGGGGCCGCCCATGAGCACAGTCCCACGGGCCAGGACAACCCAGAAGCCAGCCAGCATCACCACGACCTGGAACACGTCAGTCCAGATCACAGCCTTCATGCCGCCCTGCAAGATGTGACCGAGAGGGTGGGGTCAGACAGGGACCCGGCTGGGCAGATGCCCACCTCTGCCTCAGTTTCCTCATCTGTAAAATGGGGTTGTTCTGTGCATGAGAGAGCTGGTCACCACTGCCATTATCGTGAGCTGCTGTTTTACCCTCCATGGCAGCCCCTGGATTTTCCTGTGCAGAAGCCCCTCCCCACCTTGAGGGAGGGCCCTTCAGATGAGGCCAATCCCCTCCCAGCTCCAGGAACAACCAGTCAGGGACACCTCAGCTCCCCAAACTTCTGTGAGTGGCTCATCCTGCACACAAGGCCAGAGGCAGCCAGACAGCCCTCCTGGGGCACCAGCCAGCTCATCCTGAAACAGGAGCTCCCTTTCGGCCAGACAGAAGCCCAAAGGCGCAGAAGCCTGAAGTTGATGGGGTCCCTAGAGATGGGGGAGTAGCCCCTGGATCCAGCCATCCCTGAAACTAGATTATCCCTCGACATTCAGCAAAAAGTCTTTCAAATCACCTTTTATCATAAGGATGAGGAAACAGGCTCAGTTGGGACACAGGCTTCCTTGGGAGGAAGGGAAGGTAGAGAATGGACAGACGGGCCCAGGGTCTCCCCCTCTCAGTGAGCACGGAGCCCCCATGTCGGGTGGGGGGTACTCACCACAGTCGTGTAGAAGGTGCAGATGGCTCCGGTGGACAGGAGCGACGCCCAGATGTCCAGCCCAGTCACTGGGAAAGGAGACCCCCCATTAGGCTGCTGGGCAGGTGCAAACTTGGCCCCCAGTGGCCTGGGCCCTCCTGTCTCCAGGGGAGCTCCTCCTTCCCCACTCTTCCACCTGGTCTCTAGCCTTCGGCCCGCCGGGTCACCCTCCCCGGGTCTCCCAGAGTCACACCTTGGTTGAGGATGAGCGCGGGGGCGTAGATCACGATGCCGGTGTACAGCATCTGCAGGTGGACGGCGCGCGCGGTGAGGGAGGGAGGGCGGGCGGGGGACGGTGGCGCGGTGGCGGCTCTGGGCGGGGAGGGGCTCCAGAGGAGGCGGGGGAAGCGGGGCTTGGGGGAGGGGAAGGGGGCGGATGGGCGGGGCCAGGTCGAGCGAATCCGAGAGGCCTCCGGGCCAAACCCGTAGACTGGGGGGCGCAGGGGGCGGGGCCAGCGGCGTGGGCGGGGCCCGGCGGGGGGGGGGCGGGACCCACGCGACTGGGTCGTGAAGGATGGAGGCGGCTGTGGGCGGGGCCGAGGCCACTCACTGTGGCCAGCAGGTACTGCAGGGTCCCGCAGAGCCGCACGGCGCGGCTGAAGCGCAGCTCCAGGTACTGCAAGGAGGAGCCGAGGGCTCGTGGTCACCTGGACGGGTCCTAGCCAGGGGCTGGAGGCCTCTGGGGTCCCGCACCCACCCTCTTGGCTTCTGCCCTCCCTCAGGCAGCCAACCGTGCTCTTGCTCGTGGAGGCCCCGCCGAGCGCTCACACTCCGACCTGTCCGCACACACCTGTGCACACGCGCCATCCCCACGCCTGTGCACACGGCGTGTGCCAGGGAGGACGGTCCATCGAGTGTGCACACGTCGCCCCCTCTCCGCGCTCGGGGCTGATGGCCCCGGGGCGGCCGCCGCTCTAAGTACTCGGACTGTCAACATGCTCAGGGAGCAGACAGTGCCTATAGCCAGCTGTTATTGGGCGCCTACTGCGTACCGGTCACAATTTTAATCCTTTTACTCACTGCCCTGGAGGTCCTGTAGTTAGCCTGGTTTGACATTTAGGAAACCCGAGCAGAGAGGCATGCCCCTTGCTCAAAGCAGGAGGAATCGGAGAAGTGGGTTTCGCCCCGAGCCTGCCGTCCGGGGAGCACAGGGGTGCACGCACGCCCAGGCATGTGGGGGGCAGAGTGCGCCGGTCCACACGTGAGGGCCTCGCCCCCGCGGGCTTCCGCGGAAGACAGCCAGGCCCCCGGCTCCTCTTCCTCCTTCCTGCCCGTCGCCCCACCGCCTGCGGCCTCTTCCCGGAACCCTCCCCACCGGTGCGCCCGGCTGCCCCCAGCAGAGCCCCGAGGAGCCGGCCCGCGGCCTCGCGGTACCTGGTAGGTGCTGGTGAGGCCCAGGCGGTAGAAGACGGGCAGGAAGAAGGCGGCGGTGAGCAGGGAGTTGAGCAGCTGGCCCAGACACATCCAGAGGAACTTGAGGCCGTAGCGGTAGGCCTCGGCCGGCACGCCCAGCACCTGCACGGCCGACATGAAGCTGGCCGACAGCGAGAGGCCGACGGGCAGGGCCGCCAGGCGCCGGCCGCCAGTGAAGAAGTCCTCGGCGCTGCGCTGCCCGCCCCCCGCCAGCCCGACCCACAGCCCGATGCCCGTGGACACCAGCAGCATGAGCGCGAAGACGCCGTAGTCCCAGGCTCCGAACACGGCCGGCGCCCCGGCCTCGACGGCGGCCATGGGGCAGGTGCGGGCGCCCCGCTGCCCCGGGACGCACGACTGCGGGGAGGCGGGGGGTCTCGGCCTCCGCGGCGAGGCCTACGCCTGGCCCCTTCGGGCCCCTGCAGGAGGCCGCGACGGGGGCTCGGCCGGGGCTCCCGCGCCCGGAACCTGTGGATCCCCGCCGCGCTCGTCCGCCTCCCTGTCTCTCCTCTTCGTCTACGCGTCTGCCTCTCCGTCTGCCCGTCCACCTCCCCCCAACTCGTCCGGCGGCCCCTGCAGCCGTGCCCCGGCCCAGCCAGCCGTCTGTCTGTCTGTCTGTCTCCCGGGGAGCCGTGCTCAGCGCTGACAACTGCAGGTCTCGGTGGGGCTCAAAGGGACAGTTCGCAGCGGCGGGCTGCGGATTTATTGTGCTCCCGGGTCAGCGAAGCTCCGCCCCCGGCTTGGGGGCGGGCAGGACCCGCACCCTTTCCGCCCGGGACCGGGTCAGGCAGGTCGGGACAGGCCACGTGAGTGGCTGCTGGGGGTGGGGGCGGGGAGGCTCCAAGTGCCCCCTTGCTTCCCGGGGCACTTTTCCCTGACCATGGGCTGTTAGTTTCCCCCGTCGACAGGTGGGGAAACTGAGGCTCGGAGATGGCATGTCACTCACCCCAGGCCACATAGCCAGGAGCGGTGGCTTCAGCATTCAAGTCCTCGCTTTGCTTTTGCACCTTGGGCTGTGGAGAGCCCCCTCTCCCGCAGGACTGGGTTCGCTTTCAGGGTTGCATCGTCCCATAAGGACAACGGGCTCTGCGTGAACCACTCCCCAAGCCGGCCCCGGGACCCAGCCTTTTCTCTAGAGCCTAGCGGGGGGTGGGGCTGGGGGGGCGTCACGGCCCTCAGGCCAGGCTGAGCCGGAGTCATCGGGGTTCGAGTCCTGAGTGTGAACATACTCGAAGAAGTCTTTACTTCTCTCCGGGCCTCAGTTTCCCCTCTGTACACAGGGCTAGAACAGCCCCAGCCTCTGAGGGATGAATGGGACCAGCGTAACAGCAGCCTGGCGCAGAGTCCGCAGCTCGTTCGTTTGTTCTTCGTTCCTTCGTGGGTTCCTCCCGCGAACGCGCGGAGCGCCAGCCCCGTGCCGGGCGCCCAGCGTCTACCGGCGTTCGGGGAGGGGCTGTCAGTGGCCACGCACCGAATCAATGCAGACGCACGACTACCTGGGGCGGGGGGCGGTGTCTGCACGTCCCTATCGCACAAACGAGGAGACCGAGGTCCGGGCAGGGGAAGTCCCTTGCCTGGGGTCACGCCATCAAGGGACCCAGACCAGGTCATCTTGGGGTTTTCCGTTGGTCAGCTGGGAAGGACTTTGGACTCCGGAGGCTCTGAGCTCTGAGTTCGAGTCCTAACTCAGCCTCCACAAGCCGGGTAGATCTAAGGATCTGCCGGGTGAAACGCTAGGACACTGGAGTCCTCCCCAGCCTCTGCCACCCTCTGGCGGCTTCCTCTGCCCTACATAGGCCTCTCCAGCTGGGTGCAGAGTCCCCCGTGTGTCCCTGGGACTGTCTTCTCTCTCCCTCTCCCCGTGCTGTCCAGGGCAGGCCTGCCCCTCCCCTGGGGCTGCAAGACCGCGGCCGCCACACGGTCATCTGTTGCCCGCTGGCACGCACCCTCTGCCCGCCCGTGGCGCAGGTAGGGAGGACACCGAGTTCCTCCTCCGTCATTTTTCCAGGCCGGGCCGCTCTGCATCCCCCGGGTGGGAAGGGGAAATCCAGGCGGAGAACCCTTCCTGTAAAGCCATGCAAACGAATGCAAATATATACAAATTGTGCAAAAAACCAGGCAAACCGGCCCTATGTCCACAGAGAGGTCCCAGGAGGGGTTACCGGCCCCTGCCAGCTCCCTCTTCCCCTACCATTGGGAGGTGGGGTGGGTCCGGGCTGCAGACTGACACAGGGACTGAGACCTGTTCATCGCATGCTTACTGTGTGCAGGGCCATGTGCCAGGCACTGGGGACACAGCAGGATCCAGGTGGACCCACCTTGTGCACGGGCTCACGGCACTGACCAAGCGAGCAGATGAACACCCATTTCAGAAGCCGATGGATGATGAAAGCGAAGCAAGGTCAGAGATGGAGAAGCCTGGGGAGCGTGGGCCCTCTGGGAGGGGAACTCTGAGGAGGGGCGTGGACCTGCAGGAAGCGAATGAGTTGGGCCTGGAGAGAGCTGGGGAAAGGCGTTCCAGGCAGGGGGAACCGCCAGTGCAAAGGCCCTAGGGTGGGAAGGAGCAGAGTGAGTGGAGAGGTGAGTGAGGAGGGGGAGGGCCACAGGGTAGAGGTGTGGATTTTATTCTGACGGTGCTGCGTGGCCACTGGAGAGTTTGGAGCAAATGAGGGACCTGGAGATTTCTAGGTTCTGAAAAAAGCCCACCATGCCGCAGGTGGGAGCTGTGGGGTGGGGCGAAATGGGTGGATTCGCAACACATTCTGGAATCCCAGAACGTAAGAGGAGGCCCAGAGCTGGCAGCCCTGGGGTGGGGGGCTGAGGCGGCGGCACAGACGGGGCAGGGAGCGGGGTGCGAGAGGAGCAGTCGCAGCTTCCCCGAGCGTACAGCTCCCATCGCGGGATGGGAGGGGCAGGCAGGACCACCACACACACGCTGCACAGGCCCCGTGTACCCCCCTCGGTGGGGCGGAGGGCTAGAGCCATGCCTGGGGCCCAGCAGCTGCAGTCCCAGCAGAAGGGGCAGGAGTGTCAGGGGCTGCGAGGGAATCTGCTGCCCAGCCCCTGCCTGGGCACCACCGTGCCCCGTGTCTCCCTGGAGACGGGCCTGGGGCAGGGGTGAGAGGTAGTGCCTCCGTCTGGCTCCACCATGAACTGCAGGGGATCTGTGCTTGAACTTCCACCCTGCACTCAATCACCCCAAACCGTTATTACTGGCGCTGTCGATGTCCGTGGCATTCCACACAGTCTCTCGGTTTCAGGATCCGGGTCGGGTCTCCTGGCCCCAGCTCATCTCATCTTGCCGTGGCACCTGTCCTTGCCCCCACAGTCCCGATTCAGGGGCAGGTGCGGGGAGGCAGCTCTCCAGGTCTACACCCCAGAGCGTGACATCTGGCCCCGGGCCAGCCCAGGGACAGGACCTGGGAGTGCCTCTGCACCCAACAACGTGGGAGAGGGCTACAGGAGCCCTGCGGGTTCTGGACTCCTGCCCTGTCACCACTGGGCTGGCTGGGTGAGCCTGGGTAGCACCTGTTCCTCTCTGGGCTCCAGCCAACCAGAGCTGTCAGCAATCCAAGTGGTGGGCCCCACCTGGGAAGGCCCGTTCCCTCCCAGCCCCTCAGCTCCCTCTGGAGAGTGAGGGCTCAGCTCCGTGGTCCTCGCCTCCAGCCAGCATCCTCCAGCCCGCATCCTGACGGCCGCTCTGAGCAGGGGTTGCAGGAACTGCCAGGTGGCTGGTTATGTAGAAGCGTCTGTGGGCACACACGTTGCGGAGATGGCAGGTGGGCGCATGAGCAGTTGGTTAGGGAGCTGAGGGCTCACTTGTCCTTGGTTCAAGAGCCCCTCACTAACGAGTGACCCCATCCCTCAGCTGGTTGTGGCAGAGCTCTCCCAGCTGGCTCCCAGGCTGTAAATGAGCCTTGGTGGAGCCCGAGGCGGGCACGCGGTGACAGAGGGCCTTGTTGGGGCTCTGGCCTTCCGCGTTCCTGGTGGTGCCTCCTCCCACATGAGCCTCCTGGCCTCTCAACCTTTAGCTCATCTTAAGACCTCCCATCCCCAGACCTAAGGGGTCACCACCCCCACTTGGCTCAGAGTGGGCAGTCACTGCCCCAGGCTCAGCCAGCAGGGCCCAGACTCCAGGCCAAGTCAGGAGTGACAGGACCTGCCCGGCTTAAGCGGGCGTCGGGGTCCTCCCCCCTCCTGGTCTACTCCCAGACACAGGTCGGGTACCCAAGCTCTTTCTGCCTTGTTGCTTTTTTCTTTCAAAGATTTTCTTCTTTTTCTCCCCCAAAGACCCCTGGTACATAGTTGTGTATTTTTAGTTGTGGGTCCTTGTACTCATGGTACGTGGGATGCCATCTCAGCACGGCCTGATGAGCGGTGCCATGTCTGCGCCCAGGATCCAAACCAGTGAAACCCCGGGCCACTGCAGTGGAGCGCGTGGACTTAACCACTTGGCCACGGGGCGGCCCCTGCCTTGCTGCTCTTGTATGGCTTCCTCACGGCCAAAGATGGCTGCTGGAGCACTAGCCACTGGGGCTACATTCCAGCCTGATGGATAGTTGCTGGAAATGGCATGTCACTATCATACAGCCACCACTAACCAAAAGGGAGGCTGGGAAACTTTTTTCCGGGTGGCATCTAAATATGGGAATTCTACTACTGAAGGAGAGAAGGAATACTTGGGGCAATTAGGAGTTTCTACCATAAATCACAGATGATTAATGAAACCAAGTAGGCACAAATTAAACAAGTTTTAGCCTGACTCCCTAAATACACCTTAAACATCAAACAGTGCCCCAAAGAAAACAATTTGGAACACATACAGAGAGATTTTCAGGTTTTCGCCCCACTAAAGAACTTTTGCAAACAAAAAACCACCAGCAGCTTGGCAGAGAAACGGGCAAACCTCTTTCAAATTATTTTTAAACCAGGGAAGTGCCTCCATGAGAAACAAAAACCTGAAACCCACAAACGGGATTCTCTTCAGCTGCCAACTCCAGCTTGCTCACTCACGGTGCAGTCAAGGCCGGAGGAAAACAGGCCGTCTTACTGGAGGCTGCCGGGAGAGTGATATGCAGAGGCCCGCATCCCAGCCTTGGCAGCAAGGCCAGGCCCGCGAGTCCACATGTCACCCCATGCGGTGCAGACACAGGTGGAGGGGTGTTCAGGGGCCATCACTGCCCTTTTCTGGGTTGCACACTTATTGAACCCCTCCTGGGGATACAGTGTGTGACAGAGAACCAATCAAATCACATGAACAGAGGTGTGGGCTGCCAACGTGAGGCCGACCCAGTGCCAATCCACAGAGCAGTCCACGCAGGGCGCTGGGCAGGCACTCAGGGCCGGGGCAGGGTGGTTAACAGCAGGCAGAGCTGCCAGCGGGCAGGGGGCTGGGCCCGAGCCTGCCCCAGGCCTCCAAGCACGGTGGCCGGGGGGGGGGGGGGGGGGGTTGACGTGACCTGGTTTCCTGGAAACGGATCAAGCCCAGGCTAATCGTGACTGGGGATGTGGAGCTGTGCTCCTGCCCGGGGCTTTCCAGGCCCCACCCCACTGCCTTTTTGTGCCTCAGCTCCTGCCCGAGCCCAGGGTGGCCTCTGAACACGAGGCGAGTCCTGACTGACCTAGGCTCCTGGTGCAGGCACAGTGCTGCCTTCAAGTATTGTCAACTGAGTAAATGTGGCACGTACTTGACCTTCTGACAAGGACACAAAGGCTCAGAGGGCCAGGGCTGCGCAGGCCTGAGCTCCCAGCTGGGCCTCGGCCAGGGTGGCCCCCCAGGTGGGATTAGCTTCGTGCCTGGAATTCCCAGCCTCCAGCGGTTCCCTGGAGACCGGCCCCACGGGAGCCCTGGACACCCTGGGATAGATCAGGGGGGCTCCAGCCGGTGGACACAAGAGAACCCAGCACAGCAGACCCATAGCCCTCTTGGGCATCCCCATGTCTGCTCTGAGGATCTTGGAACCAAAGATGGGAGTTCTAGGCCGGGGGAGAGGCCCCAGGTGGAAGGAACCAACCCTGTCACCCTGCCGCCCGGTGTCTGACTACCGCCGTCTCCCCACCAGCAGCAGTGTGGGCAGCTGGGGCCTGTGTCCCAGGCGGGCAGGACAGATGTGCGGGCCAGACCTGTGAAGTACCCCAAAGCTCACAGCAGAGTGTGACGGCTCTGAAACTGGAGCCTCCTGGCTCCAGGACCCGCCCGTGAGAGCCCTCACCAGACAAAGCCCGGAGAGCTGTGCCGGCAGGATGGAGCTGGGGAGGGGCCCTCGCTGTTCCTGGGGCTCCCCTTCTGGACCCAGGTGTCCGGCCCCACGTGAAGCGGGCAGCTCTCCCGGAGCAGAGCACTCACAGCGCGGCCGCGCCCTCTTGAGTTCTGCAGGGCACGGACAGAACACAGGTGTCCAAGCACGCAGGCTTCCAAGGAGTTTATTTGACCAGACCCGAGGAGACCCAACTAGAAAAAGGTGTTGGGCCTCTTGGTGGTGAAGCGGGGCTTGTGCTGGCGACGCAGGACCCGGTGGGGCAGCGGGAACTTGATCTTGGAGTCCTGTCATAGACAAGGAGCCGAGTGAGGGGAGGGAGGCCTCTCAACGCGTCCTCCGGGCCCACCGAGGCGCGGCCGCCCCACTGGGCTCCTGCGTCAGACCTGGTGCCTGTGCGTCTCCTAAGGCTTGGGGGGCAGCCAGGCCAGCGCAGCGCTCCAGGGCGGCCCCTCAGCCCAGCCCACCCAGCAGGGCCCAGGGGCACTCACGTGGAACTGCTTGACGGCTGGTCGGCGGCATTTGCTGGCTGCGATCTCCTCCACTTTCATCACCTGGATGGAGTGGGCCCGGGCGCGGTGCCGGGCGCCCATGTCTCGGTCTGCAGGGAGCAGGAGTGTACTGGGTGACTGTGTACTTGGGGTCTGGGCATTCCCCAAAACTGCCACCATGTGTCCACCGGGGGGCCCCAACTTGAGGACAGGGGAGCCGCAGCCTCTGGCCACCAGAGGTGTAGAATCTCCAAATTCACTTTGAGGGGCACAGCCACAGCCCCTCAAAGGCGACAGGATCCGCTTGCTGTTAGCACCTGTGTTTAAACCGCTGCTACAAGAAACAGCAGTTCTTGGGTTTAGGTGCCTGGGTTTTGGGTCTGGCAGGCACGCCACCCCGGGAGCACGTGGGGCGGCCAGCACCAGGCCCCAGCCACAACCCACGAGGGAGGGTCCACACTCTGAGGTGGTGGACTGCAGGCCCCTGCATCCCATGCTGCAGGTTCCAGGAAAAGGTGGCCTGTGGCCTGCTCTCTGCTCCCCACCCCAAGCAAACACCTCTCCTGCGCCTCACGCCACCACCCCAGAAGCCTCTTGCATTTGTCCTGCCTGAGTGCGTGTGTCAAATCGAGCTGCAGATGCCTGTGACATGA